AAGAAACCGTAAACAACTTCATAGTCATAATTCTTTCTTCATGGGATAAAATGACCTTATTAAAGACAAGATGAACTCAAGAACCTGTCTGAAGGCAAACTACTTTCTATGTCATAATGAAGCTGAATTTAGGAGCTGTCGACAATGCTGTAAACAGACGTACGGTGAAGCAATAAGAATTCAACAATTATTTGCCTTAAACTTTCTACAAAAACTAGACAACACCACTGTTTCTGCCCCTAATGTGCGAAATGATCGTCAACAGCGCCTGTGCTAACGTTAAAAAACACTGTCAACTGCAGGAATTCTGCGTGACAGCAGATATCAATGTCACAAAGCAAAATGCAACTCATTACTGACTCACGACCGACAATTAATGGCAGAGAAAATGCTAAACCAACAACAGTATCAAATGTGCCTCTTTTTCTGACCCCACAAATTGAAAAAGAAAAAAAAAAAAAGAAAGTTGTTTCCCAGCAGTACATCACAGAATTATTCAAGTGTCGCAACAACAGCTCGGAAATCCTCGCTACAGAAAAGCCACACTTCTTCCGACGCCTTTCTTCAGCGATACCAATCAAGAAGATGAGCGGTCACTACCACCTCCACCTAATTTCAAATTTAACCACTTCCCTAATAAAAATATTGGGCGACCCTCAAATCTTAAATCTTCACCTTGTAAGCTTCAACAAATCCTATATTTTCCTACACCAAAACTTCATAAGAAAATCGTGAGTCCTGGGTCTTGCCACTAAACAGTTTCAAGTCCCCTTTTTACATAATTACTTTCGAAAAAAAAAAAAACACTTGTCTTCTTTATTTCGAATAATCAAAGAACCATTTATGACCTCCAAATGTTTCATCCTCCATTCAGCACTAAAAAATAACCTCTTTCTTTATTAAATTGTTTTAATCATCTACAAACCTCGATTTTCGTTCTTCGAAACAAAATCTGAACATTTTGCGGACTGAATTCGAAAAGAAAAAAAAAAAAAAAAGCGAAACAACTGTCACTCATTGAAAAGAAAAAAAAGAAAACGATAAAGCAGTAAAATCGATGCACATCTAAAAAGTTGACTAGGCTTACTGAAAAAACCAAAGACATTACTGGTAATAAAAGACAGCACAAAAAACCCTTCTCCTTCCTTTTCAAAACAAAAAAAATAGATCTGGAGAATACTACCTAACAATTTCCATAGTTGCCTTACATTAACATCAAAGTACCACAATCCGAGAGATTACTTCAAAGCAGGTAAACCTTAATCACCTTTTCCGTTTTCCTTTTGCCACTTCTCCCCGGCATAAATATTAACAAAACCTTCATTGATGCTCTACAAATCCAAATATGCCAGTTTTTGACCACTTAAATTGTACTGACAAAAACAGTTAGATGAAAGGCCTACAATGTAAAAAGCCTAAAAAGTGTTATCAAAAGCTTCTTATTTTTTGTTACCAACATCTGCAGCAACTTGCGAACCTTTTACAAACATATTACCCATTTCTCCAACACCTTTCAAGAACCATGTTTTAACCCTCTGAAGTAATAACCTAAAAGCAAAGGAAACTTCACTCGAAGTCCACCAATAACTATCGTATTAGCCGCTTTAATAAGGTATGAAAGAGTATTAATAGTTCCACCAAAACCTGGCTCAATTAATCTGAAAAAAAGCGAAAATTTTTAACCAACTAAATTACAAATAATCTAGTTCAACAAGACAATACCCCTAAATTACTATCCATACATTCATAAGGAGTAAAAAACGACAAAAAATACTACGGGATTTCTATTTCAAGGGAAGAAATGTCAAGAGTGGGTGCAAATAATATAAACGAAATAAACAATTTAATGTAACTCCTTTCTAGAGCAGAACAACTTGGTCTGCATTGAAGTACGGTTCAGAAAGGCTCTAAAAGAACTTTCATTAACTATAATGCACCAATTATTTTCAGTAAAAAATGATTCAAGGTCAATGCTTCGCTTCTGAAAAAATGAACCAAAAAAAAAAAAAAACGAAACGTTCATAAATACGTATAATATCATCAGTTCAAATTTACACTTATATTAAACAAGAACAAAATAAACCAAAAAAAAACCAACATATGAAGACCAGAAGAGATACGTGACTGGTACCGCAAAACAGCATTCTTCTTTTGATTTAATAAACAAAAATATCGTCTTTCCGATGAGCAACACAAAAGGTAGAGATTTTTAACTAGTACTGCTTTTTTTTTTTCAAAAAAAAATTGTTCACTGCCAAATTCAAACACTTGATACTCAGTAGTGGGAACGACAGTCAACGGAACAGCAAGTAACGTAAGTAACAAAGGGTAAACTACTTTTTTTCCCGTCTCTAAAATCATTAAAAGAAGCAAATCAGAATGAAGCTTCCCTAGCTGACTTACGAATGATAAATTCAGAGTTGAAATTTCAAGTTGTCTTCTTTTACTGAAATATAACAACGTTAAACGAGCATTTCATCTATCAAACGAGTCATTATCAGACCGTACACAACATCTCCAATATTCCACAGCCAAATTAATATCGATAACGAATAAGGCTTCGGTCCGCAACTTAAAAAATCTCTTTAAAATCAACTTCAATGATGTCTGAATACCGCAGACTTTAAACTCAGGCATTAGAACACACACAAATTTGAAATAAAAACTATAGGTCTGGTAAATGTGGTAAATAAAAAGGACTTCTGTCAGCAGTTGCCTCATTACGCTGCTTAGTGTAAAACAAAACCTTTTGAAAAAAACTGCATGCATCGCTCGTACAGTTTAATGGTGAACACTCCGGCAAGTGAAATGCTCATCTAATACAGCTGCATTTCAATCAAAAACCGCTTGAAATTCCAGGTTTCATTTCATTTCAAGCCTAGCCATTTTAAGTACAACATCAGCGCAAGTTTCAACTCAGACGTTTTTTATTTCTGCGAAAATCCATAAATTAAGTCCATTTTAACAGCAGAACCGGTATTTCTAAAACTCCCTTTAAATATGCGAATAGTGCAGTTTGACGTCAGTGCAGTTCCTAACTCCTAACACACCACAGCTTATTACACCTGTTAAAGTAGTAAGTTAACACACAACTATAAAAATAAATATAAATCGGTATCTATGTATTTATTTATATTTATATATTTTTATATTCATATATTTATTTATTTATACGTTTACATATTTATATATTTATATATTAGAACATTTATATTTGTACGCATATTTATTTTTATATTTATACTTACATTTATATTTATATCTATGTCTCCATACTTATTTATTTACCTTTACATTTATATCTGTGCCCAATAGCTGTACGCCATGGGTGCCTTAACTAAAAATTATCCAGTTTCAAAAACAAATTCAGCCTGAAAGACAAAAGGTTAAGATGGCCAATATACAACGGAATTATCCAAACCGCAAGCAAAACGAAGATTAACAGGGACTAACTAATGCGCAAACCCCAAGCAAAACACGTTTGCTTAGAAGAGGCGCACCGATACGTGCACACTTACGAAGCCGGGTTAACCTAAAATAATATCCAACAGATGGTGTAAAGAAAAGTATTTTTGAGCTGTTATTTACAAGGAGCTTCGCAAGCGACTGTAAGTTTCACTATCCGCTTGAAGTCACGTTACTATTTCGGGTTGCTGCTACCTTCTTACCGCTAATTGAGGTCTACTCATCATAGGCTTTCAAAAGCAGCAAACGATTAGCGAAACCAGTAATTTGTTGGTCTATGGCCTCCCAAGTCTGTTACACCTCAGGACAGTTTAGGTATAGGTCGAATTCGATTGGAAAAATTAGGAATGGCAAATTTCCAAAAAACCTTTTGTCGTATGTTTATTATAATTTCCGCAAAATTGTTTATTCAAATTCTTTAGCTCCGTATGCTGCACAGCAGTGGCGCGTAAAAGGAACAACTGGTTTTTTAAAATGTGGTGAACAGAGTGGTTCGGTACTATGATAATTTTGAAAGCAATGGTTTAAATTCGTATACGTTTTCTAAGCATTTTGCATAGCCTAAATATTGTCCTAGATGGTGTTTCCCCAAAAATTTTTGAGGGAAGTAGTGGGGGGACAGAATGGGTTTGTTGGGGAACATCCTGGAAAAAAGCCGCGAATTGTTCAAGGTAGTAGAAATTATCCTTAGGAAATTCGCGGTCACTTGAGGATTCCGTTCTTGTTTTCTCTTATTTGTGTAACACTGTTCCGACGCGTTTCGGTTGCTGTTTGCTACTTTTCCCAACATTTCTAGTTAGTACACCTGCAAGTGCTGCCTTAAACGTTACTAGTGGTAACATCAGTAAGGTGCAATTGGACGAGTCGTCGCCACAGTTAGCAGTAACTTCCTTGCCATTGTTTGACACGAAAAAAGAAGAATTATAAAGTTTCTGTGATGCCGATGCTGTCAGAGAAAGCCAGTGAACTTTGCTATGGAGGGTATCGTGATGGTTTAGATGAAACTGTTATTGGCATGTACGCACAGATAATGCATAGTACTAACAATACAGGTCCTGCTTCGGCTTTAAGAAGATTTCTACTACTCCATAAAAGTAAAGACTAGAATTGAAATTTTAAACTATTGTCGCCGTAGAGATGCTTAACAGAGGGTGTAATATTACATTAAGAAAGCTATTATACAAAAAATTGCTATTATACTACAGATCGCCACAATACCCAATATCCTTTTCAATTTTTGAGTTTACCCACATACTTGCAGGAAAATCGGTAGATCTTTTTCTAAATCTAGGGTCAAGAGAAATGGAGATTTACACGGGCTACTTTACAAAAAACTATATACATGGTGAACTTTTTGCCCCTTATTCTCTACACTGGACTTGTATGAAAAATGGTTTTTATTTTCTTTTCTACCGAGGTACAGTACTATAGTAACACTAAGCTACTAAAAGGTTTTCTGCAACTTTTTTTAATGTGCAAAAATATTGTTTCTACTTATGCTACTTTATTTGGTTTTTAGCAATCATTAGTTTTATTTATCTACAACACGCATGAATTTTTAAGGTAGCTATCTGTTTTTCGGAGCCTGTTGAACGAACAGGCCCTGTAGGGCCTCTCGTGCTGCTATCATTTATTTTTATCAGAGCGTATTCCCCAAATTTGTAACTGTCCACAATGCTTTGGTAGGCGTTTACTTGGACAAACGACGAAGGACACTTGCCAAGTGCTAAAAAGCAGTAGTTTTGTTCCTCCGAGAGCAATCCTGAAAGCACATGAATCACTGTATTGCAGTTTCCCGTTACATACTTATCTCCTTAAAAATGAAGTTATTTGTTGGAATTACAGCTTAGAAAAAATGGTACGGTAAATTTGCTTGCAATTAAAGCTGGAGTTTTAGTAATTAGAATGCACTTACCCGGCAGCCCAGGTTTGCCCGGTGTCCCTGGTATCCCGTCTATGCCTGCTTCTCCTTTTGAGCCAGGGATTCCGGGATTCCCTTGGTCACCCTTGCGACCCGGGAGCCCTATACGACCTGATGGTCCCACGTGACCTTCCAGACCTAAAAGGTTAACTTCTTGTGTTAGGGCCTAGTGGTCCCGGTCTAGGTTTGTAGCAATATCTGCAGTAATACCTCATGAAAACGCTTGCTGCATTTATATGGTTCACGGACGCAGGATGGATTAGAAGAAGGAAGAGGTCATTTCGGTTTTACTATTTTTATATATTATTTATTCGTATTTTGCTTAACTTCATAAAATTGAGAAATTACCTTCAAGCTTATTGTTCACATAATAAATTGTCTTATTTCTTCGCCTTTTATGCTCAGAAGTGCTTTAACGCGTTCAGATATGAAGGTTTAAAGGAAAAGCGGATTAACATAGGTCTTATTTTACTTTGACTTATTGTAGCTCGAAATGGGTTTCGAAAGACCAGGCTGTTCAGAATAAGGATATCTAAATTCAAAGTTGCCAAGTAACAAATGGGGAAGCAGTTTGCCTAAAAATCTGCTTTCTTTTGTACTTTCAGCAAACGCAACGTTTTTCATTATCCGTTTGATTCGTCATTAAAAAGTTTCCAAAATTCCACACTAGTGCTCATTTACTTATATGCCTTGTCGTAAAACGAGTTAGGCTTTAGCAACAGGGCTTAAAGATTGCTGCTACAGTTAAGTTTCAAGTGCGCTAGCGTATAGTAAACTTTTATTGTTTAACCTTCCAACTTTTCAGATGTCAGAAATAATACCTTGCGGTCCGGTCAACCCTGGCAACCCTCTTTCACCAGGTGGTCCTGAGTCTCCTGGAAGGCCTCTTACACCTGGTTCTCCCTTCCTACCTGGAAATCCAGAAGCACCTGCAAGAATATATTTGTTATTTCAATTGAAAGCTGCATTTTTGTATTCTGTTTTGATCCTTATAATTTCAAGAAAAGCTTTTCAAGATCTTGCAGTTTTAAAAACTTTTTTTTCGAAGTTCATTAATCAACCAGACTTATAGACGACAGGTAATTATATAGCTTTCTTCTGGTCAATTAGGAGGTGCACAAAATTTATTTAAACTTTTGAAATTTTAATGATTTCGCTTATTTTTATAAGAGCGTGGGAAAGATTCTCTTTAATATTCTTCCACAAAAGTAAGGTCCTATTACCTGGTCGTCCAGGTTCTCCCTTCTCTCCTTTTGGGCCTATCTTTCCTGGTTGACCTGGCACACCGTCAGTCCCGGGAAAACCATCTGAACCTCGTTCTCCTTTCTCCCCAGGCTGCCCTGGTTCTCCCGATTCACCTTTCCTGCCAGGCATACCTTGATCGCCTTTATCACCAGTTCTTCCAGGGTGTCCTATTTGGCCTTGCAGTCCAGGGTACCCCTCAAATTCCAAGTTATAAAAGGTGTTACAAGAATAAATCGCTGACGGCGATTTGCAGTTTGTTTAAATTCCTTATTCAATACTTGATTTCCTCTTTCTCCCTTCAGTCCAACAGAGCCGAGATGCCCCTTCTCCCCTTTGATTCCTGGCAAGCCGATAATACCCATTTTTCCTGGGATTCCATCGAGCCCTCTCTCTCCTAAAAGTCTTGATAACGCAAACCTAGAGAAAGTTCAGTGAAAGCTACTGAGTAAGGGTGAAAACACATTTAAACCTTTATCTCCTTTTTGCCCTGGAATTCCAGGGATTAGTCCTCTTTGTCTTTCTTGCACTTCTTCAAGATGCGCTTCGAGGCTTTTTAGTTCCTGTAAAAGCACAGTTTACAGGTGTAGAATTTCAGCAACTTCATAATCTCCTTCTGTTCAATTGAATTTAGTGACGGAAATTATCTAGAGATTTAAAAGCTATGAATATATATAGTGTAGAGAGATTCAAGTATGAAGTTTGGAGAAGTGAAATTTGATAATGAGCGACTACTTTGCCTAAATAGAGGATTTACAAATAATCAGGAGAGAAAATTTTGCGGATGTATTATTAAGACAGTTGTCCATTACCTGCAGTAGTTCGCTGAGTATTGCTGAGTGCGAGTTTAGCTCTTTCTGTATGGCAGTTATTGACGATGTATCAAACTGCGGTACAGCTACAGTAAAGGTTGGAAGAAACAAGAAAAGAAGATTTGACACCATTGAATTTGTAGGGTAGTTTGTAGATATTTGAAGCAGATAAAAGGAGCTGTTGAGGACGATTTGAACAAGAGAAGTTTAAGTTTTTTCTTAAAAGAAAGCTTTAGCTTGCGTCGTTTGTTTTTGGGACACTCCTCCACTTTATGGTTATACTTAATGAGGTTTTGCCACGCTAACATTATGGAAAAAATTTCCAAATTCATTCATTTCTGCAAAGGAAGAGTTCAGAACAAGTGTTTTTGTTTACCCATACTGATTTATTGAAATGCTCTGTGTTAAATTTGGTGCAAAAGAAAATAAGAGCTTTATAAGAATGTAATTTTGAAAAATAAAAATACATGGTTTTTGGCAACCTGCTGGAAGAGGTTTGAGTAGTAAGGTTTGACAAATTTTAAAAATATCTTGATTTGAGAAGATTCCAAAATTAAAATTTTAAACAAATGACATCAACCAACACAACTTCTGCGTTAGTGTCGTTAGCATCCTCATAAACCAAAATGGCGAAGTGAGGAAAACATAAACGCATTTACTACAGGTTTTTCTGAGGGAATCAGGTACCAGGTAGTCGCAGTTTAGTTAATGCAAAACTGTACTTCCTAGTAATTTACAATATTCATTTTTGAAAATTGACAGCTGTTCATCTTAAAATCAGAATAGATCTAAAGCTTTACAGAAACTGCTTGTGGAAATCAAAAATTGCTACTCTTCACACCTGTTAAGTTTATAAGGCTTTTACTACTGTGTCACTCTTATCATTCAAGTTATTTGAGAGTACTGAGCATCGTACAGTACAAATATATATACAAACTTCTTGATCTATACAACGTATCACCATCTCGTGTTCAGATTAGCTGACAGAAACCACTTCTTCATTTATAAGGTTGGTTCACCACTCGAATTACCCTGCTTGCCACTGTGAGTTCTACAATACTTGGCTGGTTTTCAAATTTTATAAAAGGATCTATTCAAGCTTAACCTGCTTAATAACTGGTCTGTACTAATTGCTAAATTTTAAGGATGTTTAAACAGGTTTTCTTAAAAGAGAAGGAATGAGGAAAAGAAGAAGAAAAAAAAAGTATAAAGAAAAAATATTGGCTATTTTAGCTATTTTAAACAACCCCTGGAACGTTGCAAAAAAGCACTCAAAGTATTACTTCCAAACAAAAGTAACAGAAGGTGCTCCGAGGAGCAGAGAAGGTAACGGGTAATTTTTGCTGAATTAATTAAGTCTCAAGAAATGAGACGAGTTTAAGCTAAGAAAAAATTCAAAATCTAAATGAGGCAGCGAAAGTGTAGACAACGTTTTAAACCTCCTCTAGAAGACATCAGTACATTTACGGACCGGGACTAAATATAAATGGCCAAACAAGAAGATGATTCAACAACGACAGGTCACAGGACTTCTACAAGAACGCATGGCAGCGCATCAGAGAACGTCAGAGAATGCTGCTGACACGAGGTATTTAATTTAAATTGTTGGCAATTCCGTTCAACTTCTGCAGTATTTTGACAGCCCATCAAAATTTGTTCAAAAGTTGGCAGCTAAAAATGCATCAAAATTCGCAAACTAGCAACTACTATAGAGGAAATGCTACATTTTCAAAAAAATTTTTTCTCAGCAAAGTTCAAAAGGACTGCATCAAAAATCACTAGCTCAACATTCTATCTTCTTCTAAATAAGCGAACATAGCTTCTAACAAACCGATTCAGATTAATCTTTTTATTCATGATTGGTAACCTCGAAAGGTATCAAGAGAACAGTTAAAACTAGTTCAGCAAATGGACATCAAAGCAATCATTTCACATTGATTATTACAGAATAAAGAATAATAATAATTCTAATTAATGAATAACACAAGGTTGGAAAGATGAAGTCACCCGCAATCTTAAAATCACTAATATCAATCAAAAAGTTATATATTACATAAGTTCTCAACAGTCTCCGATTAGGACATTGTTTCAAATACCGTTAATTTCGCTTACTATTTTAAAAGCATGAATTTTTGGCTATGGATCTGCAATGAAAGATAGAAAGAAAACAAAAATACGGTAAATACCTTAAATAAGGCCAGGAATAACAAGAAAACATACTAACGAAAAGAAGACAGTTTACCGGGGTAATAAAAATAAAACAGATTCAAAATTAGTTCCTAGTGGGACAGATGGAAAGCAGAACAACGATAAATGAAAAAGATAACCCGTAAGTGATGTAACGGCTCCAACACAAAAAAACCTTGCTTTTTATCAGTCTTTGAGCAAAGATTTGGATAATTCAGAACTTCAGAATAGTTGAATACGATGATTCTCCCTATCTGACACAATTATCGTACTATCAATCAACGCTACTGCTTCGATACCTTTCAGCTGCCCAGCACCGATTCCCCAGGTTCCAAAACTGTGCATAAATTTACCGTCCGGGTAAAATATTTGTATTCGATTATTCCCGCTGTCCGCAACAATAATAAAACCCTAAAAGTAACGTAAAAGCTGTAGCCATAATAAAAAAAAAGTTAAAGGAGTCACCGACAACAACAAATTCAGGCGAAAAAGTGCTGGGACTTACCTGGTCATCGACTGCAATGCCACGAGGGAATTTCAGCTGCCCGCTGTGGAATCCCTCCTGCCCAAACTGAAACAGTGGATTACCGTTGTGGTCAAATACGCAAACCCGGTGATTTGAGCTATCTGTGACATAAAGTTGGTGCGTACGCCGATGTATTGCAATAAACTGTGGATTGTGTAACTGCCCAGGGGCGGGTCCCATTGAACCGAATTTGCTTACAAACTGTCCATTTGCATCAAATATTTGTATTCTATGGTTGTCCTGAAAATTCCACTGAAATTCATCTCAGCTAGCTTAGTACATAATTACAGAGTGATTACAGAGTAATCTACAGTTTAATAAAGAACAAAAACTCGACACGGCTGAGCTCCAGTCAGCGTATTAACTAACTGCAAGTTAGCAGCAGTATAAATGTACAATCATTCAGAAATATTTTGCCCGGAGCCAACAAAACAGAAATTCTAATCTTGTCTCACCGTCATCAGAACAAATTTTTTACGGTTAAACCTAGGAAAGAACTGCTCTACAGCAAACTCAGCAGATTTGCTTAAACTAAAAAAAAGCTGGAACAAGCGACAAGAATAGGTTCTCACTGGAACCCTCAAAATTTCTAATCATCTACTGATAAACTACATGCATTAAAAACAAGTTAAATCAGTAAAGTACGATACATGGCAGAGTTTCAAACGAGAATCGATAAATCATAACAAATAAAATTTGCAAATTAAAATCACTACGTCATCCACTAAGCAGTGGCGCTAACTAAGCATAACAGTTAGGCAGCAGTAAACATATGTTAATAAACTAAAGCGACTTTATAGTGTTACATGTGACATAAAGTACCGACCTTGTCGACGACGTAGATCATACCACCGTCGTCGACAGCGACGCCCCATGGGTTGTTGAATCGGCCATTAGATGGTCCATGACCACCGAAACTACTTAGAAACTGACCATGCTGGTCAAAGATAGTTATTCTGTGGTTATATCGATCTGATACAATTAGTTCCTTGAAACGGTTACAGCATATACCTGCAGCACTATCTAGCTGACCGTTACCTGTGCCATATTTCCCAAAGATACGTAACAGCCGACCCTGCGTATTAAATACGCAAACTCTGTGGTTACTACTATCACAAACGGCGAAATCACTTCCAGAAATGACTGCGATCCCTCTTGGCCAATTAAGATCACCATCTTTGCAGCCTTTCTTACCAAATACTAACCGCGGTTTACCTTTGCCTTGGTAATCAATATTAGAAACATATTTTGTCGACAGCATTTTTGATATACGAGAATCTGCCGAAGAGTCTCGACGATTAGCTGCAGATGACCGCCTTCGGAACCGAGAACGTCGATCGGAAAGTATATTTACTGGAGTATCGGTATCCGTAGTATTTGAAGCGTCTGTACTGTCTTGGCGAGGTGGTGGTGGTATAAATCGCTGCGTTGTTGAGTCTAAACGATTCGAACGTTCAAGTAAAAGTTGTTGTACACGACTAGAAGGATTAGTAGTTCCTACTGGGGATAGAGGTGTTGTACCATAATAGTTATTAGCTGCGGTCAATACCGCAGTCATATCTGGATTTGTCTTAGAGCGTTGGAAACGCTGCCGCCGTCTTAACAACCAGGGAGGGATCTCACCTGGATAATGAGTTATCGGTATTGGAAGAGAGGGTGTGTCAGGAGGAGTTTCTGGCTGCGTTGGTGCAGTTTTAGGCACATTAGGCTGCTGTGTAGTAACAGAAGGTTGCACTGTTTTAGGTACATCATAATTACTCGATGTACGGCTTATTATGCGAAATCTAGCAGGTGCAATTGTGGCTGGTTGTACTGGATCAGTATCGCTGTCGTTTTCTTCGCTTGACTGGGCAGCTGTTGATTGATCGTTAGCTGGGTCGACTATCTGTCTGTTACGAAGACGTCGTTTCTCATGAGCCGCACGAATGTTTTCAATTTTTTCATTAAGACTTGTATCTTCACTAGAGGCTTGCCGAGGGAGTGGCGGCTTGCGAGTAATTTTAAGTGCAGCTTTTGAAACCTGGGGATCGAAATTCTCTTTTCTTGAGGAGCCAGAATGATTTCCAAATAGTTGCCTGTTGTCTTCCACTTGGGTTCCGCTGGAACCTCCATTTGTCGCGTTATTATCATCTTCTTGTTCAGTAGCTGCAGAATGATAGTTATTCGAAATATACTGATCTATGTACGGTTTCGCCCTAGAATTGTTCGTCGAAAAACTTCCTAAATCATCTATGGCAGACAAAGGGCGGCTGTCGTCATGATTACTAGAACTCTGATTGTTTTCACTCCTTCTAGAACCAGATGTGGGGACGGTGAGCGTTGTTGGTTGGGCTTCAGAAGGTTGCGAAGTGTTCATCGTTCTTGCACACTCGGCCACTTTTGCTGCCGAAGGTTCCAAACTATTATGAACTTCACCAGCATTTTCATCCGGAGTAACTCCCCCACTCGCCACAACTGTACGACTCCATGGACTATTTCCTGGTGAACGCAAAACACCGGGCGACTGTCTTCCACTGTCTGTGTTGCTTGCTCGTAACCTGTTCCAGGCCTCTTCTTCCATCTGCTGACGCCTTCGATAACGGATTGACATAACATCCTCATCATTCCTCGAATACCTTGTGGACCGCACATCACTGCGAGTTTCTTCGGGATCTACCCTACGCGCAGAGAACTTATAATTATCAGATTCATAACCTAATTTTATTGGTTTAGGCAAATAAGACTGTTCCAAAGGCAAATAGCGCCCAGCGAATTGTGGTAAAAGTACAGTTAGCTCGCCAAAGTTTGCAATCGCTGTTGGTAACTTGGAGGCATCGTCCCCTGGAGAAAACCGAAGCTTCTTTGAGAACAATTCATCCGCATCTGGCTGAAATGCCTCCTCGTCGGTGAAAACATTATGAACGTAACGAAGGAGCAAAATTTTATTTTGAACGTTGTTTCAACACGAAATGTTTATTTAACATCAGATTCTATAAGAAATTTTCAGTCTTGAAAATGTATATAAAAAAACAAGTCATACCTGAAAATTTCTCAAATACTCTAAACCTTCAGAGAAAACATTTTTGAATTTAACAAGTTCAGCATCCTGAACTTCTCTTTCGCCCTTCAGCGCAGCTTCAAGATAGGCACATCCTAAAAATTGGTTAACATTGAAATCAAATACGTAAAAGCAGCAAACAAGTAATATCATGATCAGCGGTGAGTAAGAAAGCAATATAAGATCGCAGTCTGCTAAAGAAAAAATTTGTTATTCTCTCTGGCGGCAAACTGATCGCAACTAAAAGGTGGAGAAGAAGAAACTCAATCAAGAATTCTATTTTTTTCAAAACGAGTCATCATTTCAAATATTCTTCGGCACAAATATTAAATAAGATAACGGAATGCTTATGATCATTTCAGTCTCGAACGTTCCGGCAAAGATAGAATTTTATTCATTTTCATCAAAGAAAATTCACTTCCAGAATTCATCTGAGACCACTTTTTTTCATGCAATACAGCTGGAAAACCCACAAAATGCAAGCTGCGTAAACTCAGTTGGTTAAAATGCTCAATCATTGCTCCTGTGACTAAAGGAAACAATGTCAAAAGAACTGCTTACCTTCACTCATATTAGAACTTTCAATTTCTAAAACGTCTCGTAAGTTTCGCATTAAACGAGTTTCGTTCAAGTGAAACGTCTCGATCTCTTGTAAAAACGCCTCCTCTCTTTTCTTTAACTCCCGAAAGTACCGTCGAAAATATTCTTTGACCTGCAGCGAAAAAAAACAGTCCCAAAACCTGTTACTAACCAAAACTCAGTAAATAATTACAGCTTGTAAAAAACTTATACTATCAAAAATTTCAAAGTAAATTATATGAATAATTGCTTCCAGTTATGCTTTGTAAGCAAAACAATGAAAATAAGCATCATGCCAGTCACCTCATCCTTTGTGGTTTCGCAGTTCAACGTCAGTAGCTCAACGCCTTTGCTCAAACCGTCAGATGCCTCAGTGACACGGTTTGATAAACGTTTCACCTAAAACCTTGTCAAAATTTAGTGGTTACAATGTTGGTTTTGCGCATATATCAACAACAGATTTTGCACGACAGCGACTGTGCACTAGAAAAAATAAAGCGAGAAAAAAGTGGAGAATTACAGAGAGGAAAACGAACAATCCTAAATCCACAGTTTTATCAAATTTGATAAGAAGTTTTAAAATTTGAAAATACATAAAACAGTGAATTTACATTGTTCTCCAAAACTTTAAAAGGTTTCTGAGTATTTACTTTACCACCAATTGTTCTAATCTTTGAAAAAAGTTTTAAACTTCTGCGCTTCTCACTTTTAAAAATCTCACACAGTATTGTCAAGAAAATAACGTCACGTTTGAAAATTAAGGGGAGAGAAGTACCAGCAAAAATTTATGAACACCTTAACCAACAGCCTATAGAAAGGCAACCAAAACTGAACATCAAAAGTTATTTCCACCAGAAAGCATAGGTAAAAAAAATCTGTTCAAAACAACCATTGATATACATCAAGAATTAGTTCACGTGTTAGGTATCTCTGAACCAATAGAAATATTTCGCTCCCCAACACAGACTAACTTGTTGTGAAAAAAGGGCAAATATTCTTCAAATCTCATAGTTCAAACCTTATGAGCTCGATCAGCAGCATAAAAGCACTCTGAGTTCGACTACCTAACTAAACTATAATAAACTTTCAAAAATTTTCACTCACAAACTTAGTGTTCTTCTTAAACACTCAGATTTCATTTTTAAAGAAATTTTGTAGACCAGAAAATCTCTTTACCCTAACACATCACAACAAATAATTTTTTATAAGAAGCCTTCAGAGTCTACCTGTCTGCTGAAACTGTTCAGTGTTGAAACAGGAAGTTTGTCTACTGTAGCAGTTTTTGATGCATAATATACTTTTAGTTCGAATAAAAGAAGAATATTGAAACCAGAAACCTGACCTGATTCAACATTCTGGACAAGTCACGTTTGAGCATATCCATATGCGTTGCACGGCAGTCTTTACAAGCCCGTCGATCACAATGTGCGCAAACTTCAAGCTCTGCTTTTTCATCGCAGATTTTACACCGTTCTAAATTATACCTAAAATAGTCTACACTAGTTACAAAAAATCATGACGAAAAAAGCTGTAAATATCTCATAAGTTCGTGATTTAAAACCAACTGATTATGAAATAGCAAAAGAAAAAATGTATTCAAAGTTCCAATAACTACTTCCAAGTCGCCTAACATTCAATGAACCAACCAGAAAAATCAGACTGAACACTGCTAGAGAAGTTCTTGTCTTGAACGCCGACAATTTTCATTAGTGACAAAAGAAAAAATACAACAACAACTTTTTCAAAAAAATTGACTAAACAAATTAGCTTGCTTCTAGCCTTACTGGTAAAAGAAATAGGTCATTAATCTCACCAAGCGCAATAAACAATACTTCAAATAAATTAATATAAAAAACTATCACTAATAAATTCAGAAGCCTTTCAGACCTATTTTTTGAAAATGGCACAAACTTTAATTTTTCTCAAAGGCAATAGACGCATTTTTGAGTTTTTATGGCAGAATATTCAAAAAATCAGGCTTTTTCAAACTGTCATTGCTCACAAAACTGCAAATATATTTCAGCTGACAACTCAAGGTTGTTTTTAACATTACTGGTTATTAGATCTTCGCTCCCGGATTTACAGGACTAAAACGAGAGCGTGAAAAGGACAACTTATATTCCGCCAAAAAAAAAAAATAAGTTTTCTGAGCAATCAGAACTCCTTTCAGAGTTTGTATTATTACCATCAAAAGTGTCACTCAAGAGGACAATATTTTAATTTTTGTTCAAAAAAACACGTTACGCAAGACTTTTTATTCTTTATAATATAAAAGCAGTTTAACCAAGGAACGCCATGGCCTCAAAAGTTACCCATATTGAAGCGCGTTGACTGCAAGAAAAAATGTACTTCAATGAGAAGTGTCTAACGTCACCCTATCCGGCTAAAAGGCCCTCATTCAAAAACGAGTTCATGAAGGCAAGGCACTTAAGAGCAACATGCAAAGTTCATTGAATATAAGTAACACTGAATTCTTTTACGAGAGAAAACGCGTACAACTAAATGCAAGAAAGTTGGAAAATAGCAAACAATGCTTCGCTGAAGCAAATCTGAGGTTTCCACTGATGCCAGAGTCGTAATTATTGAAAATTAGGAAATAAAGCGTTGCAGTAGAAACGTTACCTATTCGAGAATGAGGAGAGGAGCCAATGCATTCCATCCGGTAAATTAAGTCAATTCACCAGATAACAACTAAATGCTTGCGTACTGAATGTTATATACATTCAGTAAATACTACTCTTAGTTTTTAACGTTTCATCAACATGAATACTGCCTTTATATGCTTAATTCTTGCTGAGAAGGTGACGTTACACACTTGCATAACGCTGGAATAGCTTATTAAAGTGCCACCTCTTCACTTCTCTGAATCAACTGGTTTCAAAAGCATTAGTTTTTGAACCCATGATAATTTGTTGATTAAAAAGCATCAGTAACTCTAAAACCTATACCAAATTCACGATCACACTTCTTTCACATCTAAAAGAAACTGAAAATTCCGTCCAAGCCTTTTTCCCAAAAAAATTGGTCTGAAATTTGTTGAGCAAGACCTCTATAAAGTTTTCTTCTATTCAATACTTGATGACAGCAACACTCTAGTAGCTTTGACTGCAGGAAAAAAATTTGAGAATTTCTCCAATGTGCTGAAAAATGAATGAACTTCTTAAAGTTCCAGTTTTTTATTTATGCATATTCGAGTTTGGAAAATCTACTAACCGGCAAAACTAGAACAAACCTGAAAGATAGGCTGAAAATACTGTGCGATTTGATACGAAATTACCTAAAGCTAAGTCGACACATAAGAAAGAAGTATTATTATGCAGAAAATCACCAAATCGTTTTCTGGCATTTTAATTCGTGCTGATGGGCTGTCACTTCAGCTAGATAAATTGACGTGTGGTTAAAAATGTCTAAATTAAACCTATTTATGAAATGATTATCTTTAAAAAAAAGAAAAACAGGCACAGCAGCTTCCTCACAAAATTTAATGGAGGTCTTTTCTCATGTACGATAAAAAGAGGGAAAATTTTCATTTTACAGTAAAAACATCTGTAGCTTCCACCGTCGTGACCTTGTACAAGCAGTAGCCGAGAACGTAGCAAGTCCTTCACTAAATGTTCAAACTGAAAAAGACACCGCTCCCTCGTGATTACTGGTCGCTAAATTGGCTTCAGTTCACGCTAGTTAAACGAACCATATCAATTTTGATTTAACGTCACATAGCCCGCGATAAATTTAGGTGTCAACATCAAATGGGTACCGACACTCCCTTCACATAAATCAAATAAACTTTATCTATACCTTCGACAACCAATGAGCTGTTAAAAGTTCATTTCCGCCCAGATGACGACAAACCTTAACCGAATATCAGTCATCAATTCGAGAAAAAGAATCTTTAAGCATCTTCATCCTCCCAAAGAGTTTAGTATATTCATCACAATTTTTTTAAATCCATGATCTGTTTTCGTTTTCGAGCATGCATTTTCTGATCCCGCTCTATTCATTTGCAAAACTCTCTGGCTCAGAAATGCACTTCATTTCCAGTTTTCATAGATTTGATGTCACAGTACCATTGTAGACGTTATGCCGTTCCACACGCTGACATAATGAATAGCTTATGGTACCATAAAGAATACTTCTGTTTTTTAACCGTGCAACGTTAGATTTAGATCCTCCCTTCCGCCTTCCTTAGAGCTTATTCCGTACTCTCCATCACCATCTTCTGCAACAGTAGCTGTTCTTAATTCCCGTAACTAATACCTTTAAAAAAAAGTGGACCTAAAATTTGTGCTCAAAGTAGCTTCACATTCAAAGAAAAAAGCTACGGATAGGAGAAATAATTCCTGTGATAAACATATGTGTTAGTAAGTAGTTCAAAAACGTTTTCCTCAATCATCTTACGCATTGGGTAGGTAAACCCAAAAGACAGCCGAAGAGCCAGAGGCGCTCAGGGACTTTTAGGATGATTAGGTAACAGCCAAGTAATACGTAGACTGTAGGTAAGAGATTTCAGAGAATTGCCGCTGCGCAACATAGTAGCTATTCATTACACAACACGTTGCTGAAAGACCAGTGTTTTGAGAAATCATAATGGTTAAAACCACACTTCAACGCTAGATCGTTATAAAGCTAACAGTAAGCAACTAGAAAAGAGTGAAATCCTCAAAGATAAATCGAACTAAGTCGAGAACTCCATATGCAGAAAATGAGAGTTAATTATCGATAAAATAACATGTCTGAAAGTGTGTACGTTTAAGTGCTATAGCGCCGGGTCTCTCAAAAATCTTTTTTCGTTTTTGTTTTTGTAAAATATTTATACAGACAGACAAGTTTAAACTGCAGTCACAGCGGCACAATGTCTGTTTTCGCAATTTCAAAATCTGTGTGGTAAATAACATACAACTATACACTGAAGATCAACTGCCGCTGCATTAGATTGTTAACAGAAAACAAAAAAGAGTATATTTTTGGCTAAGTGCATCAAAGTTTTACTTCTTGAATTTTTTCATTCACACTGACTGTAGATTTGGCAATCAGACCACAGCAAAAAATAACTGAAGAACAAAAATGAAAGCGAAAGTGGTTCTGTCATGATTCGGTCTCAAAGGTGTCACTCTCTCACATCAAATGAAAATCAGTAAGCCGTCAAACAACTTCAATTCACAAGCGTCGCTGTAAGACTATCTAGCATCAACCATTTGGATCTTCACTCACCATCCGGTTTTGATAGCCCTTATATAAATAAAAAAAACTTTTGAAGACTCCGAATAAAAAAAGCGACAACGACAGCTACAACAAAACAATTACCAAAAGTTGTTCTCCTTTGTGCCTACCAGTGACGAAATCACTTATTTTGTTAGTTTGCCTAGCTTTGTAATAAAGGTACATATGTAGCTGTCGTTATTACTGCCACTCTATGCACTAGATCCACAAAGCAATAAAATTATATTGCTTTTAGCGATGCTTTGATGTTGATGTGAATTGCCCGGAGACGTTATAAGCCAGATTTATAGTTAGTTCTTCTTCAACACGTATCAAAAGCTAACTTTTCAATACACCACAAAGGCAAAAAGTAGTTTTTGAAGCAATGCAGTCTTTGGACAGTACGACTTAGAGCAACTGTAAAAACTGTAAAAAGCAACTGAGCAACTGTAAAAAAAAAAGTCGGAATAAGCCTTTAAACTTTTTCGTTAACAAGTATACAAAGTTTTAGAAGGAAAGAAATACGTTACCACAACCAATTTCTGATAAGGAGAATTTCAAAAGAATCTAGATGAAGGGGAAAGATTAACAAACCGTTGAATATAGGCTTCCAGTTGTGCAGCATTGTCGTCGGTGGCCTGCAAATGCACATCCAGAAATCCCATAAGCGTATAATTCGACTGAAAACATTTGACCCCATCGTACGGTAACGGGTGTTCTGCTCGACATTCTGGGCATTTTAGAATTCGATGGACAACGTCTGCACAACTTTCGAGACAGGGTAAACAGAATGTATGGTGGCAGGGAAGTAACTTCGGCTGCCTGAAATAAAAAGACAAAATGTAACTGGAATGATACATATTACGCCATAGAAAACTGTGCGATTACAGTCCTGGTTAACTATATCCGTTTCTTTTTTCAGTTGTTCTGTGATTGAAGCCAAAAAAATTTGGAAAACAACTTTTAATAAATGGCCGCAGAATAAAAATTTTGAAAACGTAAAAAAATCTGAAGTTTCACAAGAATATAAATTTAAAATCTGCTGTAAAATATTTCTAGTAGTAACTTTGTTAACAAGTATCTGCTTCACTCCTAGTTACTAATGCCAAACTCTATACGCATACGAAAAAAGAAAGCAAAGAAAAGAATGTCAATTCTAAAAAACTATTGTGATCTATTACTTGAAAAAGTAAAATACAGGATTTCTCAGCAATTTTTGGCAGTTTTGATAAGTCAAATTTTGGGCAAACGCTTAATGGCAAATGCACTCCACTTTTGCTGTGGCGGCTCCCGAAGGTGAAAAACTTTAGTCAGTCAGTGAAATCTGATCATTTCTCCAGTATTATGACACTTAAATATAACTGCTGTATTGTTTCACATTTGTTTACACGTTACGCGCAACCGCATAACATCCGGATATTACAGGACGGTAGCCAGATTCAACGTTCTGCTGAGCTTTGCTGCTTGAGCTAGGAGTTAGTTGTCGATGAAAAAATACAGCGATGGTAGCATTTAATATTATGTTGCTTCAAAAAATAATCAAATTCTTACAAAATCCATGCATTTTTTCTTATTTTGTTGCCGTCAACAAAAGCGACGACAACGACAACAGAAAAAACAACCATCATCGAACTTTCCGAGTTTTTGCTATACTTTTGTTTGCTGAATATAAAGAAAAAATATTTTTTTTACAGTGCTGATGGTGATAACTCTGGTGACAGTTACCACCGAAGGAAGAACAAATAAAGACATGACCTTCCAAACCTTAAACAGTGCCGCTTCCGTCCTTTCATTTATCAGTCATCCCCCAAAAAATCTTTTACTTCCAGATAATGAAGACAGTTCAAAAAAGTAAAACATCAATTCCTCCTACTCGCTGGCCCATCACAGCCAATCACCAAAACTGCATGATTTTTGTGAAAACTATACGATTTAAATCTGAACAAAATAGCAGATTTCTACTTTAATTTTTACACATTTGGAGGTCAGCAGATCCGCTATTGCAAATTTTTTTTTTTGTGGATAAAGCCATTTTCCCCCCCCCCCACATCAAGCCTAAATTTGTTTTCACAAATTTTTAAAACGTTCCTAATGTCCGAGTAACTCCGGAACAAAAACAACAAAGAAAAAAAACTGTCGGCAGGAATAACAGCTGCTCGAAACAATAATGGTGGGATATGGAGAAAAGTGAGAGTCAAAAAAACCCTAAAAACGAATAATAAAACCGGTTCCAGCTTAACTTTCTTCAGCCACTTCGACCCAATCAGTGTACTCAAAGATTCTGTAGACAAAGACCAAACTTGAAAGGTTTTGGAGTAGCAGTTATTATTACTGTTACTAGAGCAGTATTATAACAAAAATCTTCTAATTCTTTACTTGTCATCCCTTTGGCTTAAAAAGACTTCAAGATTTCCAACAGCAGTCGCGCCAACAATAAAAACACCAAAAAAAACTATGAACAGTATGATCGTCGACAGCAGCCGTTAGGCTCCAAATGCAAATCTCATGTTACATCACAAATTTACCAGGTGCGTTTAAAGCTCTTAAACGTGTTTATGTATTATTTTTACAAGAATGATAATTACTAAACTGTCAGAACAAAGCAGAGAGAAGAAATATATAGAGACAAATTATTAGATAACTGCAACAGGCGCTTCGCTATATGATAAAAATTTTCTCACAAAAACTATCAAAAAATTTCATCTGCCAAGTGAAACGTTTTACTGCACAGAAGATTTTTTA